ATTCGGGTCATCTCTCCAATACAAGAGATCATCTTCGGGGGAAGTTTTCTTAGCAGGTACTTGAGGACCTGGAGTTATAGGGATGGTACCTTGTATGGTTCCAGGACGTTTGGATACAACTTTATTCGGTGCACGGTGAATCAACGGAGGAACACGGAGATTACGCTTCCGTGATTCAGGGTGAGTATTGACAAATGTCATTACCGCATTATGAACTAGGTGAGGATCTTTGACCTTGACATCTTTTTCAGCTTGTTCTAGCACTGACTTGACAGGCATATTATTTGCCCTAGCAATTTCGTAATAAGATGCTGTAAGTTTCTGTAAGGAAATCACATCCTCTTCGATAAACTACATGAGTAATTATTATGAAAATTATTATCAATGACCGAGGGTGAGATTCTTTATCAAAAGCACTAAATGCGGAAGATCTCCTTACACTATTCCAGGCACCCGAAGTACGAGGGGCATCAGCACCGTAAGAAAGAATTTCCGAGAGTTTCTTTTGAAGCGGATCCCCTTTGACACGTTGACGATACCTGGACATTTTTATAAATTGTAGATGTTCGTTTATTAATGAGAATTGGTTTTTTATTCCTTGCTTGTGTCCAAGAAATTTGGAGAGGAACTTTTGAAGAAAGGACACTTGATAGTCCTTCTTATACGTGTCGTTATTTGCGATCTTCGCAATCTATCTATATTTATTCATAAAAATAAGATTATTGAATTAGGGAATGCCTTTGCATGACGATGATGACAAATTTTCGTTTTATACATACCGTTGCGTTATTATTATTGTTTGTTGTGTTCATCAGGGCCGCTAAATAGTCTCAACGAGGCATTTTAGCGGTACAGAACGTCGAATTTTCGAATTCGTGTGAATGAAACAGATCTCGCTTTTAAAGAATGTATGATATTAGATAATTAATAAAGAAGTTGCTTTGTTATTAAACCTATTATTCAATATTTGTAAATGCTCATGACTAATTAAACCAAAAAAGTGGTTCGTGAGAGTTTTAGAAACAACGAATGCGATGCATGCTTACTTATTGACATTGGATTCGTTATTATAGCATTCCAGGCGTATTCTCATAATTAATATTTGTTTTTTTTTGTTTGTAGATGCGCCATCGTTATTATTATTATTATTTATTCATTTGCTTTCAGAAAAAACGGTTTACCACGAATCAAGCTATTTTCTCGAATTTTCATTTTTACCCTCAATTATGGCAATCAAGAAAGTCTATATTTATATTTAATTGAACCGACCAAATTAGGCAAATATAATGACAGGTCCAGACTCGGAATGTACCACAGTAGCCTAGTGTTATGTTAAAAATCTTTGTTGTCGCCAAGTCAAAAATGCAATACATTACGCCTAGTCAAAAAAACCGTTACACCTAAAAACCTTTCTCCCCAAAAACTCGTTTTACTAAGTTGAATCTTGAATTAAACAAGTAAAACTCTGACTTTAATGTACGTGCATGAGGAATTGAAAATATGGAACGGATGGAAAATGAATATAAGTTTTTTGCTGATTAAATAATCATTAATTTTTTTTTATTCCTAATCGGGCTGGTGTCATTTATTTTTAAATTTAAATTTTATTTAAATTTATTTATACGATTTAAATAAAAAAAAATATTATGTTTTATTATTAATATTAATAATATTTTTATTTTTCTAATCAAACAAGTATTTATAAAGTTCATATAAATAAATAATGGTTTGTTTACTTTTATATACAAACTTTTTATATACAATATTTGAATATCTATCTTAAATAAAATTATTCATAAATATAATTTTGGAAATAAATAAAATTACTTATTCTAATATATTTGTTTTCAAGTATATATCAAAGTAATTGCCTGTAATTTATCATTACAGTTTGATATTATGTTTTATTATTTATATACAGTATG